ATACATATTTGAATGTAAGTTATTATTACAGTTACTGTTATGTTATTGTCTTATTGGTTTCCCTCAAATTTTACCATTCTAATTTTCTTGTTTTGTTTATGAGCGATCGTTTGGTAATGTACCGATTATTTCCTCCTCAACGTACTCATAGCTTGACTCAGACGTCAAAAGTTGTCTAAAACAAAGGCAGAAGAATTTCTGAGTTGAGATCATATCTATGCACTTGAACGTGCTTGATTTCAAAGCTCTGGGGTGTATTTATGAGGCACTTTTTCTTTGCTCGTGACCAACCTGTTTTTCTTCAGATGGCAAGTCTTTTCCAACGAAATTATTCACCGCCTGAAGTGGTATTTGAGTTTGTAGCCGGAGTACCTGATGCGATGGCAACAAAGCTTCGATCACTCGGTATTACAGTCATAGGAGAAGAGGTTGGCTCCACAATAGTTTGTCTTGAATGAAATAACTCATTACAGATCCCAATTGACTCTATAACCAAAGTACCCGAAGACTTTATGGAAATGCTCATGGAAGATGTAGAGGAAAACGATCGAATCATATCGAATAATATAGAAAATCAAAAGGAGCCGCCCATAAATCTTGATGTTTCCGCTGTTTTTGTTCTGATCTCAAACATGACGCACGAGAATGGCACAAATCACTTGTACGAATCGAGTTCGCAATCTCGTTTACAACCTTCACTTTCGATCCAGAATTATTTTGTTTCAGATTTGATAGCGTTTTGCTCACACAACAAGCAGAAATGGAGAGAAAAAATCCGGCTAGGAAGCAATTATTAAGTCAAATTGAAGGTTCTGAAGTTTTGTTTCTAAGATTAGGATAAAAATGTGTCTTAATAGGACGAGAATGGATTATCTGCCGCACAGCATATGACTCTGTTCGAGAAATACTGAAGACAGTTGGAGGCGACTGTGAGAGGAAGCGCATGGAAGAATTGTTCAAAAAAGTACGACTGGTAGAAGATGCCATGTCGGAAAAGACAGCAGCGTTGAAGCATTCAGATCGAATTACGGAAAGGAGTATGGTGAGCGCCTTCAACATTTTTTTGAAGCTTTTTCCATCCATCTTGTCCATCTAATACAGGGTGTCCCAAAACAATGTATCAAACGTTTGA